ATTGTAATAATAATAAAAATATAACTTAAATAATTATTTTTTCAAGTTAAACTAAGTGCTACATTCAGTAATAAAATGCTTGCCTAGTCATTTTTTCTTACATAATGCTATAGAGTACTTCTGGAATGTTATTTGTGCTTATAAACAAAGCTATTTGTCACTTTTGAAGTTCTTTTTAAAGAATCAAAATTTACTATTTGAAGAATATGGTATGTTGAAGTAGTAGAGTCATTAATGAAGTCATTAGAGACAGTAGTAGAGACATTTTAATATGCCTTCTACTCTCCAGATTCCTACAATTTCTAATTCTTACAAACACTTTTTTGTTTTAATATCTAATTAAGCTATTGTGCTAATTCCAGGAAAGAAATTAATAATTTATTGTTATATATAATAAAATGAAAATATATAATGCAAAATTTTATTATATATCTACAATAATATGTGCAGTAGCAACTTTAAGAGTTAGGCACATCATATATATTATAAATATTACTTCAAGAGAAAGTTGTTTAAGTATTTAGATAAATAATATATACTATTTAAGTATTTATTTGCTATATAGTGAAAAGTTAGTGAAAGTTATTAAATCCAAAAAATATTTTTTTTAATCAACTGAATCCTTGGGCTAATCCTACAGCTATTTCGAATATCGTCAAATATTCAACATCTATCCATTTTGAAAATATATGTTAACTTAACTCTAGGTATATAATCTTTGTAAGTATCAGGAATGAACTAGGTCAAATATAATCCGTGAATATGAGTGTTAACAGTGGCAATGTACATTTAATTTTTATTTATTATGGGACTTAAAATTTTTAATTAGAAACTATTTTATTATAATATTTTTTCGTTATTTTTTTTTTTCATAATATTTTTTTATTTTTATTATTATTATTTTTTATTAAAAATAGAATTTAAAACATTTTTATATATGAATATTTACTTACAAATATATAAAATAATAAGAGTTTGCTCCCAATTTAGACAGTATTGATCTTTAATTTAAAATTTTAATTTTGGTGACATTCATTATAAGTCATCGTTCTATTATATACATAAACTCATGGCAAAGGACCTAGTAGTCCAGTTATTTATTTTTAGTTAACTTTAAAATTAATTTTAATGTTAACTTCAAATTTATTTATTTGAATAAATAAATAAATATTATACGCATAAATGAAATTACTGTATGTCAACTTCTTCATATCAAGACCTTCTGAGCGCTTAATAATTATATATAGTATATACTTCAATGGATATTATTAATTTCTGAAGTGTTAACGTTAGTTCAAGTTTTTAATTAATTAATTTATATAATGTAAGTTAATTTCCTCATATTTATTATGTACGAATGCATTGGAAATGCATTACACATTAAGTGACTTAGACGGGACGGTAGTTTCTCTTATAAAATAGTTTTAGTTATCGATTTGGTATAATGCATGCCACTATAATTTTATTAAATAACAAAATTTTTATTAACATTTGATATTAAAATTATTAAACAATTGTGTTAACATTTATTTACATATGACTATAAAAATGCCGGGAAGAAATTTTACGGAGTTTTTGTCAAATAAATTTTTGATAATTATTTACTATATCGCGTATTTTTTCGGCGTAGTGTCATTTCGGATTCAAAGAAAACATGATCAATGGATTGCGGTGGAATGTAAATTCTATAAAACATTCTGCATAATATTTCGCATATCAATAACTTTTACATTGCTTTTCATATATTTAAGTAGATTGAAGATAGATGAGTTCGTAGGTTTTGCAGCACAAATCGGTGGTTCTGTTGGAATTATAATACTGCAATTGTTTTATGATAATACGTTGATTTCAGTACTAAATAAGTACTTTGACTTACGGAACAAAGTGTCGGAACTATATAAGAAATCTACATATTTACAAAATTCTCATGTGGAAGGAACGTTCCATTTAGTTATATTAACTTGTAAACTAATTCTGATTGTCTCTGAAATATCTTTATATATTCAAGCGGCAATATTTGAAGAGCCTGAGATTCTGGCATCAATTATGTTCTTGTATGAAGCCTATATCAATATTAGTATTTTAGGTTTCATTCATATAAGCTTTTTGGCTAACCTTTATGCTGGTGGATATTTTGCAGCAGTCACTAAATATTTAGTAGATGATTTTTCCATAAGACTGCAAAAGTTAAATATTGAGATCAAGCGTTTCCAAGATATTAATACTTCGACGAATTATTTCAATAAGTGTTTGGATATGTTTTCAGCAGAATTGAGTTATTATACTAAATTATATAAAGATATTTACAGTACATGTCAACGTTTGCATCATTTGCTCAATTTTCTAATTTTCTACACTACAATTTTCGGTTTCATAGAGATCGCATTAACTTTGTATGTAGTATTTTCGATATTTCGCCTTACCGGGAGTTTTGGATGGATGTTTCCAGTTTCTTCGTTTATTATTTTTGGCAATATTATGCTGATGACAATTACCGCTCATTATGCCATAAAAAATGCTGAAAGGGTTAAGAGAATTGATCTTAATAATTATTTGATCGTTACAAACTATAGTTGGAACTCAAGTGTAAGTGAAGAATTTTTTTATAATAAATAATAAATGCATTTTTTTTACTTTCTAATTAAAAAGATGGAATTATTTTACACACGCGCTACACTTTACGAATTAAAGTTCAGTTTACTTGGAATGATCGATGTCTCAAATGAAATGAATTTAATATTTCTTTATTGGATAATAACACTCCTTACATATGAAATTCAATTATCAATGGTTTAGTAAATAATTAATATCATATTGCTGCATAAATAAAAAAATGTTATATGTTTAGAAATATATAATTAAAACTAACTTTTTTTTAAATTTTTTCTATTTAATTAAATTTTATACCAATTAAGTAAGTAATTTGATTTGTAATCTACTATGTTAAGGTTTTTTAAAAAGTGCATAAAATCCATACATGTTTTTTTATATGGTATATCGGACGCAAGATTATTCAATGGTTGATTTAATCTAATATAATAATTTCATTTTAAGAGCATTTTAAAAAAGTTTATTACACATTAACAATAATATTTTTGTTATAATATTACAATAGTCATCATTATTTTAAGCTATAACTTGGGATGTGTTTTGGCTTCTCAAATCTTTATACACACAGTTTGGGATTTATGAGGTTAATGACTGGTTGGATAGTTGGTTTATGTGGTAACTCCAACCATGAGTTTAATTAGTAGTTTCATATAACATTTAGTTGCCACATCTTCACTACCAACTGTTCTTTTGCATAGACAAGCGGTAAAGGAACCTCTGAAGCGTTGGCATGGTCAGAATTGTGACAAGTGGAGTACATACTAGGAATATTTTTTTTGACTGAAGTGTACTATACGTAGAGTTTGGATATTGATATTGTAAAGGTTCTATTCTTACAAGGTGTGTTATTCACAGATTTCTTTCTATATTATGGTTTGTATTAATTTCAACAAAATAGTAAATAAATGCGAACATTAGTTTGTATTAATATCAATAGTAAAATTTAATACGTAATTTTTTTTGTATTCAATCATCTACTACAACTATTGCCCACTTCCCCCAGTCGGGTATAGGGTCTTAACATTTCTTGGATTCTATTTGGTGTTTCTCTATAGATGTCGTTCCATGTATATCGTGCTTAAGATAGCTTACTTTCGACCATTATTCTCCGCATTATTCTCTGGCGCACCAGGTCTTCTGCTACTAAGTCATGGCTTGTTTCGCTGTGTAATCTCTTAGTTGTCTTATAGAACATTTTTTGATATTGAATTACTATGTGCTGCCAGATAAAGTAATGTCTTAAAAAATTAATATTTTATTCAATATTTAAAAATATTTCCAATGAACGCTTGACTTAATACTCGAACAACTGATTGCGTGTGTAATTATATTTTAGGAAATTGAAATTGACTGAGAAATTATTAATGCCTAAAGAGCAATGTATTGCTTGGGATAGAAATTTATAAATTTTATTATTACTTAGTTATTTTTATGAATTTCTTATAACCTCAAATTTGTTGATATAGTTTCTGTAATGCAAATATTATACTATGTCATATATTTATACCCATGCACTTAACACTAATTATTAATATTTCCATCTATATATAACAATCTTTATACTCGTATAATAGGTCAGTATAAATAGATATGTAAAACTGTTTCTAGTAAAATGAGAAGCGTGCTACCGTGTGTCTGTCGCTTTGAAAATGCTTACGTCATAAAACAATTAGCTTAAAGCGATTGCCATTTGTCAAAATAATATTTACTTTATCAGTGAATTTTAATCGGTTGCTGTCAAGCTGAGGGTGTCTACACGTTCGAGTTCCTATTTACTTAAACAGCGATTATGTTTTCATTATTAGCATTTGAAAAGCACTGATTAGTGCGAAACTAATTTAGTGTTAATAGGTTTTTCAAAGGGAATTGAAATGACCGCGAAGATAGTTAAGTTCCTTTCCAATCGAATTTATTTTTTTCTATTTTTGTATGCACGAATTTTTGGCATAATACCATTTAACGTGAGATACCAAAATAACCGGATCCGTGTAACTCATAGCTACTGGTATACATGGTGGTGTATCATTTTTCGAACTGTGTGCATGACTATGTTCTTCTGTTGGTCTATATTTTTATGGAAGACTACCGATGATTTCTTCGATGCCTTGAACTTGTTACACAATTGTTCTGTAACAATTTGTTCCATTGGGATTATAGTGATACAGCTTCTATTCATCAAACATTTTATAAACGAGGTTAATACGTTCCTCCAACTCATAAATACAGTGCAAAAAATATCACCTATGAGTAAATTTTACACTGCATATCATTTTGTGCTATTGATGACTAAACTCGTCAGTGTTTTACATGAATTCTCTTGCGAATTACCTTCATTACTGAGCTCGTTTAATTTTATTGAATTTGTGATGTTAATTATAAGAACATATCTCATGAATGGTTCCATAATGATATTACATATCTGTTTTTTGGGTTATATTTGCATTGGTTCACTCTATAGTAACATGAACAATTTTATGCGAAATGATTTCTGCTGCAGACTGGAACAGTTGGATAATGATATGAAGAGGTGCACATCGAGTCACACGAAATATTATAAAAAACGTTTAAGAGATATATCTAAGGAATTAAGTGATTGTAGCATGATTTTTGAAAGAATTTATAAAGCTTGTCAGAATTTTCATCGATTGATAGAGTTACCCGTTTGCTATACTTTTTTGTTCAGTTTCGCAACAAGTGCTACTTCATTATTTTTCACATTTTGGCAGTATCGCCTTACGAATGTATTTCTATGGGGATGTCCTGTGAGTTGCCTTAAGGTATGCACCGATATACTACTGATGACTTTAGCTGCTTATAGTGCTGTAAACAATGGTGAAATGATAAAAAATGTCAACCTTTATACTGTCAACATCAGCGATCGTTATGTTAAATGGCATCACAATGTAAGTTAAAGAAAATATCTAGTATATGTATATACAAGTAGGTTTATGCAATTAAAAATATATTTTTTTTCTTAGTATTAGAAATATAGAATTTATAAATGGTGAAATATAACTTACTTCCTAGAACAGTAAATATAAATATAATTACTTTTCGAGTTATATAAACAATAAAATACAAACAGTAAAACTTGAACATATGAATACCAAAGGAGTTATTTATAAACCCATGAGTATCGCAATTTATCGCAATCTGATTGAAAGAGCATTCAATCTCTTTCAAGAAATTTCAAAGAAAAGAAAATCTCATTTCTTTCTCTTGAATAATGGCAGTTATTGAGGAAAATTTTGCTGTGAAACCAAATAAGAACTTGGTATAATTAGTTAGGTACTTTGTCTAGTGCTCCAGTGATCTGGTTCATGCCATTTAGAAGGCTCTGAAATCTATCTGAACGTAAATGTTACTTGCTGTGTTTGTTTCAATTTAATTTGTGAACAAGCATCTTAAAATAAGTGATCTTTATTCCGGCAGTAATCGAAAAGTACAAAAGATATTGTGGACTTTATATAGCAGTAAAATTTTATTTGTTCAGTTAGGAACTTGGTTCAAGTATAAAAACTTGTTCAGTTATTATCCATAGGGGGGCTAATGTATTTAAGTTTCTGTATCATGTGCAATTGTAGCATTTTAATATTACCATATAAATGAAAAAATTATTTATTTTAACAGTTTTTCTATATTTTGAATTTATTTATAAGAACATGAACATGTCATTCAATTTGTTTCCTGTACTTCATAGGATCATTTTAGTAGATTACTGACAATCAAGTTGCCTTGAAATTATAAATACATGCAACATGTTGACATATGGGAACTATGTGATATAGCAATATAATAGATTATATTAAACTTCAGTGGAGACGTTAAAGCAGTTTACATATTAGTTATATTTATACTTTATATATTTAACTATTTATAGCATAGAAGCATTTAAAATGCATTAAAATGCATGTGTAATGATTAAAAGTGCTGGCCTATATAATATTTTTAGTGAATCTTCAACGTCTAACATTTAATATAAATTTCATTATTATATAGGATATTTTCCCAAATTAGTTTGTTTTTAAAATTTATGCTACAAAAAGTGAGAAGAGTCTTTCATTTACTCTGGGATATGGATATTCTGGAAATTATCAACATTTCTGATCAGCATGGGAAGACGAATTCACTTAGTGAAGTCTATCTGTATATCGTATGTCTTTTATTTATTGAGATGTTTTGCACCCAAAAGCCAAGTTCGTATCAGACTTTACCACGCTGATATTGTCTCCGTTCTGGCGGTGGTACCGCTTTTCTGGCGGTGAGTTGATTTAATGAAAATTTGTGTAGTGCATTCTGATGAATCTAGTCAGATTAAGTTGGCTAACGGTTAAAACTTTTTAACTATATCATATAGAGCCCCTATAAGATAATTGACACAAAAAAGTTTAAATTAAAATATGTGTATGTGAATTCAAGTTATTTCGAAACACAAATTTAAATATACATTATTTCTAATTTTTTTGTACTTAATTATTTTTTAATGATAGCAAATACTTATTATTAAAATGTATACAATATTATGATATTGCGAACATTTTTAAAATAAATTAATATATGATATGTTAAAGTAAATTTATAATTTCAGGTGGAAATATTTCTTGGTCGCTTGAATTTTAATGATTTCAAACTTAATTTAATGGGTCTATTTGAAATCTCCAACAATTTAATAATCATGGTACTCTCAACTATAATTACTTATTTGATATTTGTCATTGAATACTCGCTGAAAACATATCAAACACAAACTGCATAATCGTATATCCGTCGCATACTCGTATACCCGTACATAAGGCGAGATTGTTGGTCTCTGCAACGGATTTTTAAGTTTCCTAAACAGGTGAACGTTATGCTTTCCAACCTAACTAAGTACTGGCAACGGCACGCACAAAAAGGTATTGCACAGTGGAGGCGGTTTCGGTGTGCACCTGTCCCACAACTACGAGCATTGCACCAGTGCACCACTGCACCGTATGTGAGTCTTATTAAAATTTGCGGTTAGCTGCGATGAAGCCGTAACGAGTTCGAAACGAATTTCATGCTTTTGCGGTTGAGCTCAAATCCGATGGGAAACAATTGCGGCACGTTAAATGGCACTTCAGACACTCATGCAAGAAAACAGTTCTTAGAGTTGCAGCTACAAACTTCATAAAATTTTGAATTTTATTGCGTGTAATTATAATTACTCTTTCATTACTGTACATCTGGTCAGAGTTCTTTGCATTCATGTAACTAAAAAAATCTACTCGTACTTAAAATGATTAAAAAATTATTATTTATTTATGCAAAGCACTTTGCGTCGACTTAAATCTTGTTAAACAAGTTTGAAGACAGGTACAAGCTCCAAGCTCACCTTGGTAATAATTGGATTACATGGGAAAGGAAAGTACGAGTATTCCATTGATACTCGCTAGAGAACCTCGCTAGAGAAATAATATCAGTTAGATGACATTTTATATATAATAACACCTAAAGAGAGTTCGAAGAGTTTTAGTTGATTAATGTATTAAAAAGTTTATTTACGACCGTATGTTATTATAATTGCTTTTCTTTATCCCCGTAGACTTATAGATTCTCTAGTGAAATATATAAACAGTGCTGATTTAGTACGTATTATCTAATGCGTGAACTTTAAAAACTTGAAAAGGCAATGATGATAAACTAAAGTATTAGTCTTATATTTAAAATTATTTTCCGATGATTTTAATATGTATAAATTTGTACCCTTTTAGAAAACTAGAAAATATAAAAAAATACTTTGTGAAATATATATCCAAATAGACTAAGAAAAAAAAATTAATCAAACTATTCAAAAATGTCCTAGAAGCATAGACTATCAGTCCAGCTGCCGAATGGGAATGCAAGTGAAAAATTTCGATTAAAGTTATAACATAACTGTATTCAATGGATTCGATTTTTCTGTGGAGATACTTATATCATCAAATACCAAAAGTTTCAGATGGAGATACGATCAATTCAGAAAACAATTTTGACCGTCGCTTTTATGCGGTTCATATTTTTACAGTCAAATATTATTTTTGTTAGAACTAATAAGTCAGTTACATTTCTTATACAACACAAGATGTGTTGGAAAATAAATATAACTTTCCATAAGACAATGTTTATTGGCAAAATCAACTTAGTTCATTTAAAATAATCTCCCTCTGACTTATAATACATAATTTGCTACATCCATAATCCTGCTGAATAAGTCTTTTAAATCGTCTGTCGGGATATCTTTCTGAAGTGCTCATGCCTTTTGGATTAGATGCACCTAAACTACTAGCTAGTGAACATCTTTATCTCAGCTCTCTCTCTCTTTCTCTCTCAATTACTGGAATAGAGTTTGTACACTGTTGTGAAAATCTTCTTCATTCATTCCTAAGAGGTGGTTTTAGTTGGTTGCACAATTATACAGTCTTTACGAAAGTTGGTATAAGCTTTTTTATAACTTTAACATCCTTAAACCGTTTTTCTTTCTTTAGCAAATGTACTTATCTTAAAATATAAAAGTCGCATAAGATTAAATCCAGGTGTATACGTAGTTAACCTTACCGATAAATGTCAATAGAGGGTAAAGTGAGGCCATCATTTTTAGTTGAATTTCGAACAAACTATATACCTATATTGGTTGTTGACGACTAGGCAGTTTAATTGGAAAGTTGTGTTGAAAAAAATAACTTTTTATTATAACTTTTTATTATATTCAGAATAATATCATTTATATACAAGGAAATAAATTATGTAATTGAAATAAATAATAATAATGAAAATAAATAAACATTAAATATTATAAAAGACAAGACATCACAAATCTTATCTCATGTTATATGTTGGAGTAGTTTTGAGCAGGAAAGATTATAAATATACTTCTTCAGATGTTACATTATTTATATTACATGTAAATATTATTATTATATATTTTATTATTATTATAATTTTTCTTTCTTACAATTGTTTATTTATTGAATCTTTCTAAATAGAAATTTACAATAATTTTACAAATATTAAAAAGATTAACATGTATTCATATTTATCAATGACTTTCTTTTAAGGCGATTTAATGCAGTGGCAAAAGATAGGTGTCGAACATGAGGATTTGGATGCGACTTGAGTCTCTCTAGGAATTTAGGTGTATTTTGGCGAATAACTTCTTCAACAGTTGATAAATTAAGTTCTTTGTGTAGGTTTTTGTTTTTGACATACCACGGAGCGTACGTAGCTTGTCGGAGAATTGTACTCTCTGGATTTTTTCTATATTTGTGTTACACGCTGAGTAGCACAGTTCTATACTATAGGTTCAAATATTGAACCTATAATATTGATTTGTAAATTAACGATTTGTTATCAAGACTAAGTTTAGAGTTGCGATTTAGAAGCCAGTACAATTCCTTACATTTAAGATTTAGTTGGCATCTTTTGGTTTCAATATTATCATATGATTATATGACTGCTAACAAAAAGTGTTATCTTTACAATAATATCTATTAAAGTTTATGAAGATAAACATGTTCTTAATTACAATAATATTGAAATAATAGAATAGAAGACTGATTTACATCTACCCATGATCTATCTTTCATTATAATTACGACTTTATAAACACATTATGGCGTATCTTACATTTGGGAGACTTCAGATTCAAGATTAATATGAGTATATAGTTATTTAATTTTAAATTGGATTTATAAATAGTTTTTGTTCCCAACTTATTCCAAAACAAATAATTGTACAGAAAGCATATGAAATAAAACTTAGTTTAAGTTTAGTTATTTACTAAATAATTTATTAAAATTTTTTGAATTCTTGTATTAAAAAACTTAGAGTAATTCATTAATTTAATTACATAAAAAACCATTAAAGAAAGAATTTATGAAAGTATTACCGACGCTTTCATAGAAAAATTTCTTCG